CCGCGGGGGGCCCCCCCCCCCCCCCCCCCTTAGCCCGTAGGGCCGCGCCCCCCCCCCCCCCCTCTTGCTGCCTCTCAAAATCAACCGCCGACAGCTCCGAGCGTTCCGAGACGAAGCCGAGGCGTGTTCTTCTTCTTCTTCCTCCTCCTCTTCCTCCTCCTCCTCCTCAACGACCCTCTCCCTGCAAAACCTGCGGGACGACGAGGTCTCCTTCGTACGGGCCACGGCGGCGGCGTGGCGCCTGGGCCACGCCGCGGAGGATAACAGCGGCGGCAGCGGGAAGGGCGTTCGCGTGTGGCTGCCCCCCGTGCGGCTCAACTCTACGCACGACGTCGCCGCCGGCATGAGCGTGGCCCCTGAGACCGCGGTAGGGGATGCCGAGGGCGTCGGGGGAGGGGGAGGGGGGGGGGACGACGACGACGCGGAAGGTGTTGAAGATTTCGATGCGGGCGAGTTCGAGTGCAGGGTCTGCTACGCTGTTCTGCCTTCCGGCGTGCTGACGGCGGAGAGTGATGTCTCTATGCCGGAGCACTGGCCGGTCGTCCCGAGGTGCGTTGGCTGATGCGTAGGGTCGTGTTGACGGGCTGTGGCGCGGTGGAAAGGGAAGGGGCGCGTGGGTGCGGGGGTGGTGGCCAGGACCGTGTGTTGTCTCTCCGCTGAAACATGTGTAGGAGGATCGGGAGAGGGCCGATGGTCGTCATCGTCAGTGCCGAGTGCGTTCTCCACGTGCACATGCGGCGCCCTTGTCTCCTGGTCTCGACTTCTCACCATTCGTCGTGTGTGTATCTTTAATTAGTATTAGCATGGACCGCACTAACCGGCTGACCAATGAAAAGGCGTCAGTCTGTTTGTGTGTCAATTATTTTCATTTGAAAAAAAATATTCCCCCACATCTGTACGTGCGTGTGTGCTTATACGACAGGGTCGGCATCCGCGTCCTTCTCCCGGGAAGCTTCTCCTCGATCCGGTGGTTCGGCCGCGGGCTGCACGAGAACTACCCGGACAGGAAGGCGTCTACCGTCGTGACCAGACACGCCTCCTCCGTCGCGGAGCAGCTGACGCCCTACATCAGGCCCGGGGAGTGCGGTGGCAAGGCGGACGTGCGCTGGCTGGAGGTGAGCCGTCCGGCTCAGAACCGGGTGGCGGCGGCGGCGGCGGCGGGCACCGGCGGGGTTAGCGATACAGCTGCCGCCGCCGCGCCAGCTTCCTCCTCGGCCGTTGGTGAGCCTGCTATCCTCTTCGCCGTTCCAGCGGCCACCGCCACGGAAAGCGGAGAGCAAGGCGATGCAGACGCCAGCGGGCAGCAGCAGCAGCAGCAAGCGGACTCGTCGCCGTCCCTGTTCTCCTTCAGCGCGCTGCCCCACCTAGCGGAAGACCTTGCGGGGGCCATGCACCCCGAGCAGCTCCCCCCGCGGCCCGTCACGGCCGTCAGCCTGGACCACCGGATCATGGGGGTCGGCGGCGACGACTCGTGGAGCGCCTGCGTCCACGACGAGTATCTGGTGAGGCCGGGGAGGTTCAGGTTTTCGTTCGCGTTGGCCCCGTTCTGGCGCCACCGCCGCCGCGTAGCCGACAACAGGGGCTGCGAGGACGACGGCGGCGAGCAGGCAAGCGAGCTCTGGCGAGCCTTGAGGCAGGAGAAGGAGCTTTGAAAGCTCGAAAAACTAGGCGGGGGGGTGCAAGCAAGCGGATCGCCCGGACAACTAAGTCCCCCGTCTCCTCGTCTCCTAGAGAGCGCGGGAGGGGTGGGTGGGAGGAGGCGGATGAACGGTGGAAATATTCGAGCCTTCGGGTGTAGGGAGTGGGAGTGGCGATGAATAAGAGGAAGGTTTGTTCGTCGAGCAGATAGAATAAACTGGTGTTTATTTGTAACAGTCGAATTAGAATTTGGCTTCATTTTCTATCGGAAACCCAGGGTCACGGTGTTTGGAATTATTAGTCTCAGTATTTGAAGCAAAATTGCAGTCTGTGCATCGGGAGGGACGGGAAAACACCCTTTCGACGGGTGAAATCTAAGGATGTCTACATAGAGAGTTGGCACACGCTTTGAGAGCCGCTGTGGGGAGCAGGCGCGCAATCTCACACGGGTTGTAAGTCGATGGGGGTGCAGTCGAAACCAAGCGCGTTAAACAACCACACACGGTGCACCCACGTGCTCATGGGTAAAACTTACACCTGGAAAACCCCTTGACTACGTTTCGACCGTGCCCGTCAAGGGGGCCCACGTTTGCGCACCCATCACAGGGGCCGCAAGAAATTGTTAATAGCGCAAAAACATCACCGTCATCGTGTCCGTGTCTTTTTACCACGGGGAAACGTTCACGAGGTTGGTGTTTGTCTCTATCCAATCCGTGAGTTCCGTGCGTCTCTTGAGGCCAAGGCTGGCGGCGGCCTTTCTTGTACCGCCGCCGGGGATCGGGTCGTGACGCCTCCGTCTTCTGGGAGGTGGAAACCTTCCTCCTCCTGTCGTTACGCCTTTTCCGAAGCAACGCCCGGCGGCGGCGGCCGCTACCCCCGCCCCGAACCTCGCGACGCCGACGGCCTCTGTCGGGCGAGTCGTCGGCGATGGCGATCGGGAGATTTCCTCCGTCATCGCGCTCATCATGTCTTCCCCTTCTCTGTGCAGGTCCTCCGCGATGGCGATGATGTCGTCGACGGCAGTGGCCTCGCTGCCACCAGCGAAGGGAAGGCTGCTGCTGCCACCGTCGGCGGCGGCGGTGGCGGCGTCAAGCGACGACGGGGACGTGAGCCTCCCCGCCCTTCTTGGTCTCCTCCCGTTGTCGTGGTGACGACCACCGCTGCAGCTGGCGGTGTTCTTGATGGCGTCTTGTCGCCCCTCGGTGGTGTCTGTTGCCCCTCTCCCGGCATCTCCGGAAACCGCTGGGCGCAACCTCATCCCGGCCGCGCTGTGTTGTTCTCCCGCCCCGCACTCCTTCCAGAACCGCACAGCGGTGATCTATCGAAGGGGCCGGTGGATAGCAAAATCGAATTGTCACATCAGGCGCGCTTGCACATTGACGGCGGTTTGGAGGCGCTTGAGTCAGTCGAATGTGGCAGGTAAGGCCCGTGTCGATGCATCGCTTGATCCAACATCAGAGAACTGGCTGCTGATAGTGACGCTCGTCGATCTTAGGGGGTGGGTGCATTCGATTCGAAGGATACTACTGTAGTGGATAAAGCGAGCGGTGATTCGGGGGAGGGGGGCGTGAATGCAATATATGCATGCACGCGGCGGAAGCGGGCGGGCAACGAAAACAAATCTCATGGCAAAAACCGTGTGCGAGGCTGCTGGCCCTTGCGTGCAACTGCCGGTTCGGTGACTCCGCCTGCACCTCTTTGCCTTATTGGCTGTCGGCCTGTGCGCGTTTTTCGGCCGTTTTTTTGCCCCTAACGGAGAGGACGGGGGTTCGGGGTGGCGGCTCTTCGTACCTGTGGACCACTGTGTACTACTCGGAGGGCGATGATACAACTACATACAGTCTACAGATTCTCTACAGTAGACGATGCTTTCTGACGAAAGTAGACTACTATCTACGGTGAACCACACATACCTGCGACACGCTCGTTTCAGACTCGTCTCGCTTGCACCGAGGAGGTGGGCGCGGTTTGAAGCGAACTCTCGGCCTCCTAGGCGTTGTGTACACGGCCTTGTTGTTGCGGGCCCTGCATAAGCGGATGTGTCGATTTTTTCAACGTGCGCGCGGAAGAGGTTGGTGCGAGCGCGTTGGTGCCGGCCGGCACAAGCAGAAACATGCTGTACACCCTGACTTTGGAGAACACTACGGGACCACTCTGAACGTTAGTTGGAGGTGCTTGCCGACTGCACTCTGACCTAATTCTTCAGGTGTCAACTCTGGACGTTGCTGCGTACAGGGTGCACCCAACAACGCAACGTTTGACGCTAAACGATGAATCTACCGGCTCGCTAGACGGGGTACTACTTGTCGCACGCAACGAACGGTAGAATACAAGTGTGCTGCTCTACGATCAGAATCCCTGTCGGTCCTCCTCGGCAACTTCGTGCGAAGGAATCACCTCGCGGCCACGAAATTACTGAAACAAGAGGAGGCCGCATCGCTCACAGAGAGGCAAGTTGGCAGACAAATGAAGGACTACCGACATCATCACCACCACCAACATGACTGATCATCGTGCTTCCCGCTCCTGATATCTACCTTCGGCCGTTGGTACAGGAGGTGTCGTCGGACTGTCGGTCTTGCCAGCTCCGTTTTGGTCGAGAAGCCTTCCAAACAGCCTCGTCCACTTGTCCGCTGCAGGTTGTCTCGTCGCCGCCCACCCGCACGCGCCTCAGCCCTCTGCCTTGGTTGTCCCGGGCGGTGATCGAGTTGCAATTGCTCCCCGTGGGGTTGCCTCGGCGCGCGTTGCTTTTCTCGAGGTGCTGGTTGGTTCGGGACCAAGGCGGAAGGCGGCGGGTTCGAGACGACGGAGAGCGAGCAAGATCGTCGACGAGACTCTTCGAGGGCGTTGCGAGGAAGGAGACATGGACAAGACAAAACATTTTCCGTGTTTTCGACACGGGAGAGCCTCGACGATTCGGTCCGGACAAGGTGGTCGAACTCTGGGTTGAAACAACTAGGGTCCAGCCTGGATGGAAAAGAAAGTTACACGTTTGGCTGTCTGAGTGCAGATTGCCTTCGGAAAGGGTACCAGTACATTCTCGTCAACGTCTGTCTACGACGATTTCCTCCGGTCGCAACAAGGTCTGGCGCGAGTGTTGCTACAAGGCGGTGACACCAAGACATTGGGACCGTTTAACCCTCACCTTGCGCATGGCTTCGATTACCCCTAAGTGCCGCTTCGCTCGGGCCACCTCCGATCGTCTGTGCACGTAGCTGTCCAGCATGCCCCACACGTCGCCGCTGCTGATCTCGGTGCCGCTGCCGCAGGCTATGAGTTCTGGGATTTCATCGCCTTCCTCCCCTTTCCCGCCCCCACCACCGCCCCCACCAACACGAACTCCGCCGCTGCCCGATTCAGTTCTACCGCATTCGTGGTGGCCGCGAACGGCCCTTCCGCCGGAGGTGACAAGGCCGCTCTTTTCGCCAACGCTTGCACCATTCCTGTACGTCGGGCGCTCGCTATTACCATTCCCACCGTTCTCCACCGGCAGCTCGAGATCCGCTCTGCTAGCGCTGCCTCTGGCTGCGGCTTCTTGTGCGACACCGCCGTTGGCCGCAGCAGCAGCAGCGACAAACCCGGTGGCCACTCTTTCGCTGTTCCACCCTCCTATTTCCTCCTGGCCCTCCTCCTGCTCTTGCGGTGTCCGCGGTGGCACCAGCAGCATCGACACTTTGCTGACGCTTCGACCGGTTCCTGGACCCGGACCGTTCTCCGGACCGGCCCCCGGCAAAGTCTCTCCGTGCGCACCGTCACGGCCGTCCCCTTCGTCGCATTGGTGTACAATGTTCTTTCCGCGGCCCTGCGCAGCAGGTCGCCGCGGGCTGTTCCACGGCTTCTTGGAAGGGTGGGGCGACGCGCAGGAGTTAGAGGGGGGGTAAGGTCTCCCGGACGCCGGCGCCAGCGCTACGGTTAGCTGGGCCTGAAGGTTGTTTATGACCGCCTCGGCTCGCTTCCTCCTCCTGTGCTTGTTGGGTTGCCATGAGTTGTTGTTGTTGTTGTCGTGGTCGTGGTGTTGTTGTTGGCGTGGTCGTGGTCGTGCATCGTCGTTGATGTCGGGGCGTGGGAGACGGGTGAAAAAGTGTTGTTCTCTAGGCAGGAGATATTCGTCAACCGTGTCTCAAGAAGCTTAAGCAACACCTTGATCGTTTCGAAGCCAAAACACAAACACGGTAAACTTGACCCGTTGTCAAAGCCTTTTTTATGAACCATCGAACGGGCCGAAGACTGCCGGGTCGCGACCCCAAAACTACTGTAACAGGCGGCATGAGACTGTGCACAGCGCACACCGTATGAGGAGACCTGTTTTTTCACACCTCGTGCGCCCGCTCCGCAAACACCGGTGGTTGTGACCGGAACCGAGCACAGGGAGCCCGGGAAACGATTAAAGTGGACTTGTATTTCGTTTGCTTCCCGCTACTGCTTCTTTGCTGCTTCAGGCGTTTGAAGGCCACCGTCCCGTACCTGATCGTTGTTTGATGCATGCGACGCTCGTCGGCTAGCTCCACTCCGGCCGTACGCTGGTCGCGTTCAATCTGGGCCGCCTTTCTCATGATCCGGTTGATCTGCGAGAACAACGGGCGCGGGCGGCAGGGTCGTGGAGGGGACAAGGTTGGGGCGGATGGTGGGGGTGGGGGTGGGGGTGGGGGGGGTACTCTCGTTTTATACGCATGCCTGTAGTCCTTAGACCATTGACCTCGCATCCTTACAATGCTGAGTTTTCGTCGGCCCAGACTGGTCATTGTTCTTGCCTTTTGGTCGGTGGGTGGAGGAGGTGCTAATCAAGAATCACCGCCGCGTTCACGACGAGAGAGTGCAGCTTTTTCGTATTACTTTCAGAGCTTGTCTTGTGCGAAACCTTGGCAACACCACGAATCCTACGGCAACTGTTGTGACTACTGTCTCCCTCCATCCCTCCCTCCCGGCAAGACGCGCGGCAAACGTGACGCCACGAGACAGCGACAGACAGAGTCGCCCTGATTCGACCACGGCTCAAGTGGAGGAATGCTTCCCTCGCACATTGCGGGCACATAGATATGTAGTGTACGGGGCGATGGGAGTGTGACTACGGTGTCGGTTGCTGCCATGGCGACAACTTTCGCTTGCGCGGGTGCGGGACAGAGCGGACGACGCTCGTAGAGGAAGGAAGGGGAGCAGCGCTGTCTAGACCGGGACGATGCTGTCAGCCTCTCTCTTACTGCAGACAGCAGCTCACCTCCGAATCCTTGTGCGCCTTCTCCCGCCTGAGCACCTCCGTCTCTCGCCTGAGGCTCCTGAACTCCTCGCTGAGCCCCCTCTCCAAATCGAGCCGGATCTTCTCGGCATCTCTGAAGACATTGATTTGTTGGTCCCGTGCCGTCGTTCGAAGGGGGGGTGGGGTACCCAAGCCGTGCATACCGTAGTCGTTACAGACCATGGACTTCGGTGGGGGGGGGTAAGATACCAGGCGGCCCTCAAGGACGGGGGGGCTGGGAGAAAACACACGCAGCGGGCGGTACCACACATGCTATCGCGCGGAGAGACAAACCCAGGCAACAAACGCACCACTCCCACTACCAAGGAAGACATGCCTTCACTCCTCGCCTTACCTCGCGAGCCGTAATTGTGCCTTTTGCCCCGCCATCGCGGAGGCTATGTTGAAGTCTTGCTGCGTGCGTTCCAACCGGTTCTTTCCTTCTTCGATTGTGGAAGACAGCTGGGACTTGAGGCTTGCAACCTTGAACGATGAAGATGCATTTTTTCATGTTTCCAAGCATTGGGAAGAGAACGTTGCGCGGACACAGACGGTCAGGTAGGCGGGCGGGAGGACGACCTGAGAACTTTTGTGATTATCCACGCACAACGGAACAAAATACGATTGTGACGTGTGTTTTCTGGTGACCACCATTCCTCTCTCATTTTCTATCCAAGAGGCACATCCCGGGTGACCGCAAAACCCCCCAACACTACGAAAAAACAACACGTCATCGTCATACATTCACTCGAACGACCTGCTTCCAAAATATCGACTCGCATGCACACCGTTCTTCTTCTACCCCTACGTGTTACCGCCGTGCCTTACCTCCGCCTCGAGCTCAATCTTTTCCTCGTCCCACGCGGAGAGGAACAAGAGCGACTCCTGCGTCCTCTTGAGCTCGTTCGCCAGCTTTGTCTCTGCGTTGACGCTCCTGGTTAGCTGGCTGCGGAGGTATGCACCCTGGACACAAGCAACGAACACACACAGTGCACATATTGTGTTCATTCTGTTTTACTTTTATATTCTGCTGACCTTTTCCCCCTTTTTCCATCCACCTCTTCACGGATTTCCATTGTAATGCCGGTCGTCCCGGTGGTCTAGTTGGTAGCCTCGTAACCTTCTAGAGGTCAGGTCAGGGGTTCGAATCCCGGCGTAGGCGAGCTTTTCTTGCAAAGTGAGTTTTTCTCTCGCTTCCGCTCCTGGCCAAGTGGATAGCGCTAGTTCGTGTGTACACAGAGGGAAGAGAGTGCTGAACTCTTCTCGCATTAAAAATTGAAGGCGAAGTACCGCAGGAGGGGAGGGTAGAGAGAGGCTCTTCTGTGTGACCACGGGTTGGAATAAACGGCACTAGTGCTGTGAGCGCTGATTTGAAGTGAAGAACAAAAAAAAAAAAAAAAAATGTAGGAAAGAGAGAGGACCCCAAAAAAAACGTTAACTCCTAGACGACTCACAACCGCCATCCCCGGAAGAGGAATTAGGGGGCCACATGCCCAACTCAGTTGCATCGATAACCAAGAAGATTATTTCTATTGCGGAAGGGTTCTTCGCCGACTACGTATGCCAAAGAACATCCCTCACAACCAAGCCCGTAAGTGTTTCTGCGGAACTTCCCTACAATAATTAGCGGACCTCTTGTTAGCCACCGACTACCAAAACAGAAGCAATCATTGCCAAATCCATGCTAAACGTACAACAGCAAGACGCACCTCCGCCTCCAACCTACGGATCTCTTCCTCGTAGATCTTTAGCTGGGCTTCCCGCTCCGCCACGTCGATGTCTCGTTTCTTCTTGCCTCCGACTACGGCGGCTTCCGTCCTCTCCAGCTCTTCACGGAGATCGGACGCTTCCTGAAAGGCGTGTGCCGTTCGCTCCTTCAAGTGCTGCGTGCGCACAGGACGGTCGGGGAAGTAAAACCGAAGGGTCGAAAAGAACAGCGTCAGGTAGCATTGGGCGCATCTAGACGTGTAACTATGTACGAATGGGTAACCTTTCTGTGTTTCTATTTATGTTTCCTTATACGCCAACAGCAATGTTTGGGTTAAGTGTGTCTCTAAAATCCTTGCTTTCAACTGTGCGCAGCCGAGAAAGAGAGAAGGAACAGACAACGAGGGTAGCGTGTACCTCGAATTCGCCCGGGGGGGGGCGTACTCTTATGCTTTGCATGCCTTAGCGGTTAGACCATTGACCACGCGTCCTCGAGAGGACGGAGCATTGTTCCCACAGGACCGATCACCGATGGCCAATCGTTCCTTCCTACTTTGCCAAAGGTGGCTCAAAAATGTCTTCCCTAGTCTGTCTATCCTACCGATGTCACTTCCCGCCTTTTCAAACCACTTCCTACTCCCCAGTACCGCTACCGTCCTCTCCTCTCTATTCCATGCCTCAAACATCTCCCTGTACGTCCCTTGTATTCTTCCCAGCTCAGTCATGTACACTTCCCTCTCCTTTTCGTACCACGGACATTCCGCGACTACATGAACACTGTCTTCGCATTCGAAGCCGCAATCACATTTGAACTTGTCGTCTTCGTCGTCTACCGTCCTATGTCTTCGTCGACGTTCGCGAAGGCCTATGTCCCCGGTCCTGAATTTGACCTTAAGCTTTGTCCCTGCATCCATTGGTCCATGTAGGTAATCCTTGAACCTTATTCCTTCTTTCAACATTCCGTACACTTCTAGACCCTCCTTATCCTTGGATTCTTTCCTTAGATTCTGTTCTTCTCTGTCGGCACAAGCAACAGATATCTTCTTCTTGAACCCCTGTAGACCCTCCGTTTCCAGCGTTTCATCTTCGTCGATGTCCAATCCCTTCCATACGTCCTCTACAACCTTGACCCATTCCGTGGGTTGTCTACCCCTCTTTTTATTTGCCCACTTCGCCTCCCATACTATTCTCGGCAACCTCTCCTCTCCCATCCCGCACATGCGGTACTGCCATGTCAGCTTCCTTACGTCTCTTCCCGACCGTAGGGATTGGATCCCCAATTCTGCCCTGACTGCTGCATTACTTGTGCGCTTGGAGCATCCTAGGATAATTTTCGCTGCTTTCATCTGCGCCGCCTCGAGTTCTTTCACTACCTTCTTATTTCCTTCCCATACTTCTCCGGCGTACTCCAGCGGCGGTACGATTACGCTCTTCAAAACCGTCAATTTGATGCGTGTATCAAGGTGCCGGTGTGCGAGTATTGGGTGCAGCTTCCCTGCTCGTGCTTTGCCCTTTTCCGCTACCTTGGACATGTGTGCATTCCACGAGCAGTCTTTTGCGATCTCTACTCCGAGGTATGTGTACTGGTCGACTACTGCAATCTCCTCGATCCCCCACTTCCATCTATGTTCTACTGGTTCCTCCCTGCCCTCGTTGCATACCATGACGGCACTCTTCGTAACGTTGGCAGACAATCTCCACTTATCAGTAAACTTCTTCGCCGCGTCAATTTGCAGTTGCAGTCCCTCAGGGGTGTCCGACATACCAACAAAGTCATCCGCAAACAGCATTCCTGACACCGAAGTTTCCGTGTCCCCTACTTTTACTCCCTTCCGGACTGCCTCTACGACTTCCAACAGATCGTTGATGAACACCTGGAACAATGTTGGGGACAGCGTGCAACCTTGTGGGACCCCTTGCTCAATGTCGAAGAATTTAGACAGTTCTCCGTCTAGCATGACCGCGCTTTTCGTACACTCTGTCATCTTCTTCAGCACCCTCCACATTTTCCCCTTGATCCCGTACTTGGACAATTGTTTCCACAGCCCATTTCTCCATACGGTATCGTATGCCTTTTTCACGTCCAGGAAGAAGCAGTACGTCCGCTTGCCCGCCCTCTTTCTACCTTGGATGATTCTCCCTACCGTGAATGCGTGGTCTACGCACCCCCTCTTCTGTCGGAAACCTGCCTGGCCCTCACTAATGCTACGTTTCTTCTCCAATACTCCCACTATCCTATCGTTCAGCAGCTTACAGAACACTTTTCCTACTGTGTTCAACAGTGTGATACCCCTGTAGTTTCCTGGGTCAGTCTTGTCTCCTTTCTTAAACAAGTTCACAACCACTCCTTCCCTCCATCTACTTGGCGCATACTCGTTCTTCCACACCCAGTTGTACAGCAGTACCATCAGCTGGATCATCCCCTTGCCCCCAAACTTCATGAACTCGTTTACTATCCCATCCGCCCCTGCTGCTTTGTGGCACTGCAGCTTGTTCACACACGCCTCAACCTCGTCCTCAGTGAACTCCTTTTCTAGTTCTACGTTCCCAACGTCTGCCTTCGATGTCTCTTCTTCTTTCTGGGCCCATGCGTCCACCTCCTT